CCCCCCCTGCTCTACCACAGGCCCCGGGCTTTGCTCCACATCTCCCTGGTCTGCTGGGGGGGGCACTAGCTGCGTCCCCCCCTAGCAGACCAGGGAGACGCGGAGCAAAGCCGCGCAGGACCCGGGGCCGGATCCGCGGCGCTTCCAGCTGATCTGGAAGTGGCCGCGGGTCCGGCCCCGGGTCCTCCACCGCTTTGCTCCCCGTCTCCCTGGTCTGCTGGCTCCCCCAACAGACCAGGGAGACGGGGAGCAGCTTTTCTCGCCCCGGAGGAGGCGGGCGGCGGGACCAGGCGTCCTGCCGCTCCAGTCCTCCGGGGCGAGAAAATCCCCGTTCGTATCTGTGGATCCGACATAAGTCGGATCCGGGTAATTCGGGGACTGCCTGTATAGCATAGAGAGTAGGCCTTGAATAGTAGTTTGACCTCTTTCAGTAAACTTTGAGCATTTGTCATCCAATGATGCTATTGGCAAGTCCATTGCAGCTTAACTGTTTTTCTGCCGCTCCAGTCCTCCGGGGCGAGAAAATCCCCGTTCGTATCTGTGGATCCGACATAAGTCGGATCCGGGTAATTCGGGGACTGCCTGTATAGCATAGAGAGTAGGCCTTGAATAGTAGTTTGACCTCTTTCAGTAAACTTTGAGCATTTGTCATCCAATGATGCTATTGGCAAGTCCATTGCAGCTTAACTGTTTTTCTTATGTGGATCTACTCATTTATTTAATTTTTGCTTTATTTGAATGCAAATCTATTTTTTAAAATTGAAAGAAAAGACACTAACCATAATTAATAGTCACAGGCTTGATTTGTCTTTTATTTTTATTTTATTTATATTATTAGGTTTTGATTTTTGAGGCTTCTATCTTCCAAGGAGTGACAGATTCATCACAGGCTATCAACAGTTATTACTAGGGTCTGACTTTGTGCTATATAAACAGAGTTAGCAAGAAAAATTCGTTATTTAACAGAATTGAGGTAGCTACATTCTGCCAGCTTGTATGGAGGAAAAATTAGAGCTGTGTTTGGAAATCCTATGTTTTAACCAATTTAGGTATTTAATGTCTGATCTGCTAAAACTAGTTAAGGCAACTACAGTAGACTTCCGATAATCCGGCACCTTTGGGACCTAGGTGGTGCCGGATTATCGGATATGCCATATCAGGAGGTCTCGGTACAGCTGCACAGCTTTTCTATCAGCTGGCCGGGATCCAGTTCCCCTCCCGCTCCCCCTCCCTTTCCCCTTTCCTAGAGCAAAACACTCTTCTCCATGCTGTAACCCAATCCCACTCCCCCCCACAACTTTATGCTTGGGTCCAGGTATGCTTTTCAATCAATTGGCTGGGATCCAATCCCCCTCCCGCTCCCCCTCCCTTTCTCCTTCCCTAGAGCAAAACACTCTTCTCCATGCTGTAACCCAATCCCACTCCCCCCCACAACTTTATGCTTGGGTCCAGGTACGCTTTTCAATCAGTTGGCTGGGACCCAATCCTCCTCTCCTTCCCCTTCTCTTTCCCCTTCCCTGGAGCAAAACCCGATCCCACTCCACCTGCTCCCCCCCCCCCAAAAAAAACCCTTATACTCGGGTCCGGGTATAGCCAGCACGTGCGCTGAGCGGACGGCTTTTCGGTCAGCTGTCTGGGAGCGCTTACACTTTTGATGCAGGAGTATCGGGAGTGCCGGACCATTGGGTGCTGGACTTTTGGAGTTTTACTGTACTTGGAATATATTTAGTGGTTTGGTTTTGTGTATTTTTTTTAAAAAATGAACAGCAAGGAAAAAGCTGCGCTTTTTTTTTTTAAAAAAAAAGCTTGTCTTTAAGATGTTAAAAGAAAACAAACAAAAAAAAAATCAAGGTCTATTGGTCCTGATTTTGCTTGAAGGACTGAAGTAATGGTGGACCTTTGACTGGAGAGGCAGGACAGTAAAAATTGTTAACAAAATGCTTCACTTCCAGCTATGTGTATGGCATTTGAGTTAAATAGATGTAAACAAAAAGCAATGTTTTAAACAGTTTGAATAAAAATCACTTTCCCACCCAATTGTGAAGGTTTTGTCTTCCGAGTACAGTAAAAACTGTGTTATCTGGCCTTGTACCAACCAGAAAGTTCTATAAACCAGCATTTCTGATTCTCATAGCAAGTTCAGTTCATAGTCTGGTTGACATGGGGCTAACAGGCTCCCAGTCTAGTGGTGCATGACTCCCTGGAAGCCGTGATATGTCCCTGCTGCTTCTTAGAGAACAGCCACGAAGACTCTGTGGCCTGCCTCTGCCCTGAGTACTGGCTCTGCAGCTCCCATTGGTCAGGAACTGTGGCCAATCGGGACTGTAAGGATGGTACCCGAGGATGGAAACATTGTGGAGAACCACCTTGTAATGACTCTGCCTAGGAGCGGCAGGAACATGCCATTGCTTGTGAGGAGCCACCTGAAATGAGCACTGCCTGGATTGAGTATACTAAAACCCCTCCCAGGTGCCAACCCTCTACCCCAAGCTCCCTTCCAAACCAAAACTCCCTCTTAGGCCATACCTCACACCCCCTCACAGGCCCCAACCTAGCCTTCAGGTCCTTCTGTATACAAACACCCACTCCAAGGCCAAACCCTGCACCCTTTCCCACGTGTTGCATCCCTTGGGCCCAGCCTCCTGCACACAGTCACTTTATGCCCTGCCCCACCCTAGAGCTGGCACCAGAGTATTTGACTAACCAGCACCTCCCTCCCCTTCCTTCTCCACCAAGCTGGATAACAAAGCTTTTACAGTACTTAGTTTAGTACTTTTCCAGCCATCTCCAGAGGCCTCTAGTAGGCATGTGACGGGTAAGTCCTGAGAAGCTAATGTGTTTTAAAAAAAAAAAAATCTTTTTATGGGTGACATTGTTTTCAGCCTGCCTTCAAATGAAGCAGACAGGACACAAACCCATTTTTCCCCTTTGGTCTTTTGTAGGTTCCCTGTTAAAGTCTGGTACTTTAACACATGGAAAAGTTTTTCTAAAGCTTGAGTTCTTTTCTAGGATATTTTGTAATATGGCAGATACACTTCAAAAGTGTCAATCTTATATATCCCTTTAGCATGAGGAGGAACCACCTCAGAACATGAAACCACAACTTGGAAATAGTGATAAGCCATTATCTAAAATGGCACTTAAAAATCAAAGGAAGCATGAAGCAAAGAAAGCTGCTAAACAGGTACTGCTAATTTCCGCCTTCTTGGGGATAACTTTATATTAGCTTTTACAAAGGTGTTTAGTCCTGTAGTAACACATCTTGGGTTATGGCCAGGTGTGCTAACTTTCAGGTGACTGGATGGAACATGTGATATACCTTTTAAGTCATTCACTTGAAGTTGGTCCAGATTGATAGGTACTGATAGTTACCATCAGTTGGTTGTTCATTAGTCTGTGTGAAGTTTGCATAAACATCACTCACTTCATCCTTCCAGTCCTTAAGAATTTTATCAATTCTTTGCAGTCTCAGGTGAGAGGCAAAGGACTAAATGGTTTTAAAAACTGAAATACTGTCTCGCTCCGAAGATGTGGTCTTTCTGTAGTTCAGCGTTGAGGCATGATAGCAGGGCAGGCATGATGTGCTTCTGTGGCTACCCATATTGTACCTGTTCTGTGGCTAGCTGTCAGATTTCAGCTTCTGATGTTAGCTCTACAACTTTCACAATTAATTAAAACACCCTTCTAAAGCTTAGTAAATTAGACCTGATTTTTCTGGTTTTGGGGAGGATGGCCCACCACCTATTCAAAGAAATATTTGTGGATGCATATTTATTATTTCAGTCCTACCAATTTCATTATACTAAGCATGTTTCTTGTCTTTCTGTGTGTGAAGAATTAAGACACGATATATCAGAACTCTAATATTACAGCTAATATCTTCTAGTAGAAGCTCTATATCACATTATAGAGCTATAACTGCAGATTTTTCACAAACAGTAGAGTGTACCATAGAAGTAATGAAGTGGAGAACTATTCTACGGCTTTTCTGGGTTCCAAGCCATAAAACAACAGAGCTGTTGTTTAAATGGTTTACAAGAACAGTAGATGAAGTATATTAACTTTCAGGAAGCCAAAACTGATGGAAGCCAGGAATCAACACCATCTCCAGCATTACATAATGTACCACGCAGCACTGTGCCTCCTGTGACATCAGGAGACCCTGAGATAGACAAAAAAATAAAGAATTTGAAAAAGGTGAGTGATTTTTCTGATGAAGAGTAGTTTCCTCTTAGAAAAAGTCCTGAAGGGTTAGTTGTGGAGATGATTGATAGCAGTGAGGTAGGGTGTACATAAAGCATACATCTCCAGCAACTGCTCTCCTCTGCTTTCTCATAGTGTAAAGCAGCATAATAGTAACCACTTTAAAATGTGCCTGTCAGTGTAGTATCTAAGCATGTAAAGTAGACTGAGATTTGTCCAGAACAGCAATAGTTTTCCACCTTCTCTTCCATTCTCAAGAATTGCTGGGTATTGAACAAAGCTCTCTTCAAAAGGGCAGATGGTATAGCTGGTCAATATTTGTACTTGTGAAGCAACTAAGTGAGCTTCCTAAACTTGGTTTACACATTTAGTCTCCTTTACAATGTGGGAAGGCTTTTCTGACTCAAGGTTAGGGAAGAAAGGGTTGGTGATGTTTATATCTCAGGACTGCCAGGAAGATATGTATCTCAATCCTGTCAACTTTATGCAAAGAAGTCGCTGCTAGATGACAAAGTCCAGTCTGTTTTTTCTTCTCAAACCTACAAAAGGATCTAAATTTACTACCTGTGTAACACTGTCAGGCTTGGGAATTGTCTCATTTAAATCCTTACAAACAAGGGTGAAGTTGTACCGGACAGGGCCAGAGAAGTTTTCCTATTTCTGCATTGCAGAACAGGAGGAGTTTGTAATAAAACAGATTTACAAATCAAGTTAGCTTCCTCTTTCCATATTCACCTCTTTTCTTAAAGCCTCAGCCATGCTGTGGAAAGATATACAGAAAAGAGGATGTTTATAGTAGACGAGTTCCCTTTCTGAATCTTAGATGTTGCCCCCCCACTATAAGAAATTATCCTACTCGTAAATTATCACTTTAGTGCCAGAGTTGTATGGTGTTTACATTTTAAATGCATAAAATAATCTTCTAAACTTTTCAGTTATTAGAAGTTCCTCTACTCAGGTCTTTTCATGAAGAAAGTAAGATAGGTAAAATTATCTTGGTTTCTGTTGATATGAAATTCTGGTTTAAGTATATAAATGAAAAGCAGATGTATTTCTATTGCTCAGACGCCCCATCAAAGTATCTACTTTAAGATGACAAACTGTAAACCCAGCAAATTTGAAAATTTCTGTTCCTCTTTTGGCTCTTCCATACTTTTGTTCCTCACAGAAATTGAAAGCAATTGAGCAGCTGAAAGATCAAGCAGCTACTGGAAAGCAGCTAGAGAGAAACCAGGTATTTATTCAGGCTCTTTCTATTTTTCAATGCACTCAAGGCATGGCTGCATGTACAGCAGTGCAGCTGTCACTGCAGTATGTCTGGTGAAGACTCTGTATGCCAATGGCGTAGTAAAACCACTGCTGTGAATGGGAGAAGCTCATCCATAGTTAATCCAGAGTAAATTTCTAATATAATTCTGGTTAAGTGCCTATATAAGTATGGCTCCCTGTCTGTCTTCCATGTCAAAATCAAATGAAGTGGAAAAACTTAAGTTAAAAGAGTTTCTTTTCTCAAATTTACCTCTAAAGAGGCAGATCTGAGGAACTACTAGGGACAGGCACACTGACTAGGCGGGGGCAGTTGCCCCTGGGGTCGGTATTCTGAAAGGGCCTGGGGCTTCCAGCTACTGGGCCCTATAATCTCTGCCGGAGCACTGCACAGCATGCTCCATGCAGCTCTTAGTGCTGCTTGAGGAGATGGGAGGCGTGGCAGGGTGTGCTTCAGGTAGCACTGAGCGCTGGTGCCATGGTCCCCAGCAGCACTGAGGGCCAGCAGCCCTGCTCCCGCCTCTTTTGCCTGAGGCCCATGCTTTCTGGGAGCTTGGAGCCAGCCACTGGCCCCCACCTTGCCCAGGGGTCCAATGAGACTGACAGCTCCCCTGACTAGGGAGCATGGCGAACAAAACATACAGAGAAGCAAGGGAATCAGGATTTTTTTGGTTAGTGGTAGCTTTTTATCCCTCCCATAACAGCACTCTTGTTGCCATTTGTTCTCCACAGCCATCTGTGCCCTTTCCCCACTCTAGTGGGTTACATAGTTTTTTTGCTTAATACTTGACAGAACTACACTAACTTATGCTGCTTTTACTGTCCTTTATTACACACATTTTGGGTGTCAGCATGCTATCTGTGGCTACTTCTTCAGCTGGCCAAATCTTGTTTTTCACACTTCTCACTGGCGAATGCATTTTATGGAATGATCAAAATAGTAACAATCTGAAGTTTTGAATGATAAAACTAGTGGTTTTATACATTGTCAATTTGCATACATAATTTATATATTAAAACAACTTCTGTATATTTTGATTCTTTAAATGCCTGCTGCTGTTAAAATAGTGCAGTCTTATTGTTTGCTATTAAAGTTACATATTAACTATGATGTACATTATTTACTGTATTAAATATTACTGTTTTACCTGTTGTGTAATAAGCAAATTGTATGATCTGGTGTTGTCTTTCTTCTAGCTGGAGAAAATTCAGAAAGAGGCTGCTCTTCTAAAGGAGCTAGAAGATTTGGAACTGGGCTTTTAAAACTTTATTGAAAAGAAATGGGTGTGTGACACAAAATCAGTGCAAAATAAGGGTGTGTTTTAACCCAAACAGAACAAAGAATATCCTTTAACTGCAAATGGCTGAGGACGGACAGGTTTACATATTTGCAGCACAACTACATTTAACATTTTTTTTCTGAAATCCTGTGCGTGTGCAAAATTGTAAACAAACAG